GACAAAGTACACTGCTGAGGGGAGCAGCGGGCGGGTCAGGAGAGGTCTGCCACCCATGTGGTTCACCTTCAGGGGTGGGGATTGAACTCACACCGAAGCAGCTGCGGCCAGCTTGCAGTGCTGCGTCCTAACGGGTTATGCCACCAGGGTGGGCCCATTCTCTACGTTCTGTTCACAGTCATATAAGGCTTAGAATCAGCTTTGCAATTACAAAATATACCCTCTGAGATGTTGATTGGATTTACGTTCAATCTATAGATGTTTTCCAATCATGACCAGAATTCTTTTTGTATTTATTTAAACACTTAAATATTCTCTCTTCAGTAATAATTTTTAGAATACTTTGGCACATTTTTAAAAATGCATAACTCCAATTTTAAATATTTACTTATTTATGCATAAAGAACTGGAATTTAGACCAAAGGTATGGAGGGTGAGAGGATTCACCAGAGACAAGAGTGGGGAACAGAACAGCCAGATCCTCTGAAATACACTGCTGAGGGGAGCAGCGGGAAGACAAAAGAGGTCTTCTGGGCCGTGTGGGTCACCTCCCCTGAAGGCATCAAGTTCATACAGAAGTGGCAGCAGGTAGCTTCATAGTGCTGCACTTTAACCCCTTGCACCACCAGGGAGGCCCCCATAACTCCATTATTTTTAAAGTCTTATTTATGTATTCATCCAAGAATTGGGATGAAGGCCAGATGTATATGGGGTGAGAGGATTCACCAGAGAAAGAGGGGGGAGTAGAACAGTCGTTGACTGAAACACACAGCTGAGGGAGCATTGGTCAAGACAAAAGTGTGGGTCACCTCCCTGGCCAGGGAACAAACTTGTGCTTTAGGGACTCCAGATAGTTTCATGGTGCTTTAACCCCTTGTGCCACCAGGGAGCTCCCAAACTCCACATTTTAATGGAAATAGCATTGCATTTGAACATTAGGTAAGTTCAGGTAGGTGTGCATCATTAAAGATCATTTTGTGTCTACATGGCTTTAGGTTCACTAGTGAAATTCAGATTTATTCTCCAAGTTAAGGCACACAAGTACTGAACGGTTGATTTAAATGACATATTTGCACACTATTCTTGGTTCCTAAACATATGATGCATTGATCTAGTTAAATCATTGTGTTA